CCGCGGACCGGCGGTTGGGGACCCCTGCCTTAGACCAAACGAATGATCCATTGGGATCCCCATATCGAAACAACTTATCTTATATGAGGCCAGAATCTAAAAAAAAAAAACATTTAACACAGCACAGGACTTAAGCAAAATGGTTCAGTTGAGATCTGCACATGTGGGACTGGTTGGAGTAGATTGCAGGGGTGACACCAAAAATGTAATTTTATCGTATTTTATCTATGTCTTATTGAATTCCAATTTCATTTTATAAAATTGCTTTTATCAAATCGTAGTAATAATTTGTTTCTGGAATACTGCATTTTGATATGGCCGGAGGGGCTAATCAATAAATTTAAAAAGTATACAACTAAAAAGTTGAGATTATAATCTTACTATATAATTTACTACACTAAAAAATTTACCAGGAAAAAAAAAGCTGTTTGTACCAGGATACAATAATGTCTCCCGTCTTGTGCAGAAGGTTGGGTTAGAAGATGGAGGTGCCTTTCAGCCCAATGAGTTGATGGTCCAGGGTTTTCTTAGAAGATAGATGATAATTTGAAGTCAAGATACTTGTAGGCCTATATACTGGACTTTCAGTAACGTCCTTTCCCGTGTGTTCTGACCTTTCCTATTTCACACCAACAAGAGAGATTTAGGACAGAGACAGCAACCAGCAGCCCTCCAGATGATACTGGGTGGGAAACCCCATCATGCCTGACCATCCCTAACTAGGGCTCATGGTAATGGAAGTACAGATAGTCCTTGCTTAGTGACCATAATTGGAATGGACAAGCAGCACAGGCGTTAAGCTAGCATCACATTATCCTGACCTGGTATAGGAAAACCTATACCATTTCAGATGAATGGCTATCCAATTTCTTCTTAAAAAATCTCCAGGGATGGAGCACCCACGACTTCTGGAAGCAAGTTGTATCAGAAAAGTCCTCCTTAGTTCTGGATTGGTTCTCTTCTTGATTAGTTTCTGTGATGACTCGGGGCGTGGCACAAAGGCAACACAGTCACATAAGCAAGAAATGTCTCTTTAATACCTCCAGCTTTGCCCCAATGTCCAGTTACCTTCGGCTGGATAAAAAACTCTGCCAAGAAGAGTCTTTAAGTGGAGGAAATTCAGTCTGAAACAAAGTACATATAAACTGTAAATAAAAATCCACACAAACCACGCTGCAGCAATTAACTGGACAGGGCAGGATAAGGAATTGCAGTCTTGAAAGCCCAGCAAAACACACATAGTTGGAAAGATGCCAGGAACTCAGATAAGCCTTGATAATAAAAGATAACTCATGATTTGCTTCCAACAAGTTGCTGTGCACAAACTCCCTTTTTAAACAGTGTTCCCAGCTGCAGCTAATGAAGTGAATCAGGGCTCTTTCCTCCCCTGTAAGCCACGCAACTCACGTTGCTCCCTTCTCCATTCCTCCCTGTGTGCCCTAGGATGAAGATGAGGGTGGGCCTGGATCTTCCTCTGAATTCCCTGTGCCTTGCTCTACCTCTCCCCTGCTCTGCCCAGCTGGACTGTGCCCTTCCCCAGTTTCTTCCACAGCCAATGGAGCCACACTCCCACTCACTGTCAGCTGCTCGGCTTCCCCCTCTGAATCAGATTCTGACAGGGGCATGACAGTTGCTTCTTGCCTTCTGGTGCTTTGAGGAATAGGTTGACCACCTCTTCTTTGTACCAGCCCCTTAGATATTGGAAGACTAATATCATGTCACCCTTAGTCCTTTTCATTGGACTAGACATACCCTATTCCTGCAACTATTCTTCATATTTTGGCCTTCAGTCCCCTAATCATCTTTGTTGCTCTTCTCTACACTCTTTCTAGAGCAGGGGTGTCAAACTGAAGGCCTGTGGGGTGCTTAGATCTTGCTGTGGGGCCACCTTGGAAACAGTGAAGGACCGGCCCATGGTGCCTCTGTCAGTGAAAATGGAGCTTGGGAACACAGCTCCCCCAGTTCTGTTTTAGGTTGTGATGGCCTCCTGCAGCCAGCCCTGTGCCAGTGAAAATGGAGCCCGGGAGGGCTGCTTCATTTTCACTGGCACAAGGCTGCAGGAGAATCTGCCCAGCCCCGCCCTGGCCACCACAGGTGCCCCCAACATGAAGTTAAGCTGGCCACACCCACCCTGGCCACACCCACCTGACCTGAGGTCAACCACAACCCTGATGTGGCTCTCAATGAAATCAAGTTTGACACCCCCATTCTAGTCTCATGAGTGAAGTTTAGTCCATCCATCCATAATAAACAATAGAGTTCAATAGCTGTATCATATATTATTGGTGGGTGGGTGTTTACTTTAGCTTATGAATTTTGCTGTTTTCTACATGATTTTTGAATTTTTGTGTGGTTTTTAGATTGCTGAGTTATTCTGCTGTTTTATATTATTTTTACTTTGCCCCGATTCAAGTTTTCTTAAATCCAATTCATGGTATATTTTAATTTATGACCACAATTGAGCCCCAAATTTCCACTGCTAAGCAAGAAAGTTATTAAGTGAGTTTTGCCCCATTTTACAATCTTTCTTGCCACCATTGTGAAGTGAATCACTGCAGTTGTTGAGCTACTAATACGGTTAAGTGAATCTGGCCTCCCCATTGACTTTGCTTGTCAAGAAGTCACATAATATGATCACCTGACCCTAGGATGTTACAACCGTCATAAATACATGCCAGTTCCTAGCCTTTAAATTTTGATCACATGACCACAGGGATCCTGCAACAGTCATGTGAAAAGTTTACTTTACTTTAGTTTACTTTATTGTCACCGCACCTCGTACAATTAAATCAAACAGCCATCTTCAGTGCACATCATGTAGTCATAAATCACTTTTTCAGTGGTTACTAAAGTAATAATTGTAAATTGAGGATTACTTGTAATTAATCTTTGAGAACTTCAGTTGAGAGTATGATTTTTCTAAATAAAGCAGATGGGAGGCTAGGGATAAAATATCTCAGTTCAGACAAAAGTAATTTCATCACAACATATTATCATAGCCTTTTAAAGATACAGCCATTTATAACTTGGTGCTCAATGCTTTAGGAATATAATAGAACAGCTTCGGTATACATATTTGCATCAGGAAAAAAACAAACACGTTTGAGGAAGTGTTCAACAATATCAAGAGATCAAAATCAAGAGATTAAAAAAAAATCCTTTTTATTTACACATTTCAATTACAGTGCATATGTTGAAAAACACAGTAAACTGGTTCAGTTTATAAGCATGGAAATCACGAATCACATATTTGTAAAGCAGTTTCCACAGTGTAACAACAAACTCTGTAGACAATGGTTCTAAAGCAAGAAAAGAAATGGCGTACAAAATGCACAAAGATTACCTCTCATAACATGAGTTGTAAAATTATTGGGCTAGCAAACACTGTCAAAACATGAGGCCATAATCACTCCCCATCCCTACCCACTCCCACTGAGTCACTAGCAGGACAGATCTTGCTTCATTTGTCCCAGCAAAGATATCACAGTCCATATTAAGCAGAACACATTGGAACAGCATTTCTGGTTCAATATAGGCATATCCAGCATTTCACAACATTACAGGTTAGGAAGGATCACACTCAGTTAACAGTAAGCAAGGTTTCACAAGTCTGACACTACTACTACACCACAACTATTACCAAGCTACTACTACCACTCAAAGCATACTAGAAGAACCTGGGAAAAGGAAAAGATTAGTAGTAAGGGGATCTGCTGGAACAGTTCACAGGTACTATTTCCCTTTAGAGAGAAGGAAAAAAACATAAACTCTTATTAAATGAATTATCCAGTTGTCCAAAATATAAATCGTTCCTAAAAAAAGGAGAAAGCCTGTAAAAGAAAAATATTAATGTAGGTTAAGAAGCAACAAGTCCATACATCAAGAAGGGAGAAACATCTTTAGTTTAGGTATATATAAAATTCATTATCTGGAATAGACTGACCCAGAGAATCCAGAATGTTATTTCCCAGTAAACCACACCAATCCTGAGAGCAGTTTGGCGGTTTTCAGACATATATCTACTTCACCAGAAGTTGTTCAAAGGGTTCTAACCATTATATTCCAACAGGAACATTATGGTCCAGATGTGTGGGATGATCTGGAAGAAAGAGAATATTCTGGAATTCTCTGGAATGGTCTAAATTTGGTCTATATTGCTATATAGTGGCCCATTAACGAAACTAGCTTTCTACTTTCTAAAGGAAAGATTAACAAGCAATGGATAGAAACTAATCAAGGAGAGAATCAAAAGGAGAAAGTTCCTGACAGAACAATTAATCAGCGGGATGACCTGCCCTCAGACGTTATGGGTGCTCCATTACTGGAGATTTTAAAGAAAAGATTGGACAGCCATTTGACTGCTTGAGGAGGTGGTTGGAGTAGAAGATCTCTAAGGTTCCTTCTAACTCTTTTATTCTGTAATCACCCAACTTGCTGGTCACGGATGTTAAAGATAGCAGTCACACAACTTGATGGATTCTGTGTTAGGGTTTGTTGTAAAAAGATGGATCTCTAAGAACAGCCTTTCTCAACCTGGTGTCTCCCAAATATGTCAGGACTACAGTTCTCAAATGTTATAATCCTAACATATGCTAGATATAAACCACTAATCCTTCTAATTGTAACTTTATGATTTGCTAAAAGAACAGAATTCAAGAAGATCTGATTGCAGATATTTCGAGGTATCGTTAGTGCCTCTGAGAAGTCAAGATAGCGCTTCTTGCTATGGTGTAACAAAATAATTTACTTCCATGCAAAAATGCCATGAAGTGGAACACTAAATGGACTTAAGAACCAGGAAGTGGACGGGAAATGAATAAATGGACTATTTTAACATGAGGCACAAGACACTTTAGAACAGTTTGTCAACCTTGACAACTTTATGATGGGTAGACTTCCAGTGTTCTGGGAATTGAAGTCCACTCATCTTAAAGTTGTTAAGGTTAAGAAAGTCTGCTCTATAACTACACTGAACGGCTGGCCTGTAATATGGTACTTCAGATCAAAAGTGACAATTAGAACACAGTCATATGAAGGTAAGAAGTCATGTAGACCTCATTTTAGCATCTAGAAATGACAAGGTAAAAAAAATACTCTTTTGGTATTTTGGGGGGAGAGGGAGAAGAGTTTGCAAATGCTCCATATATTCCTTCTTACAATTCTGAAATTGCGCTCTCCAAATAGTCCCAATCCTTCAATAAAGTATACAAAGCCTAGAAATGCCCTTGAAATGGGATATGTTCTTGTATGTCATGCTACCTCAAATACGAAAAATTATGATCCAAGTTTCTAAATAATTCCCTTAACTCAATAAGGACTCAACAAACAATTCAGCTTTACTCATTGGATATTTTTCTCTCTAAAAAGAAAGAGAAAGAGAAAGGGTGGAAGGGAGAGAGAGAAAGATGGAAAGAAGAAAGGAAAAGAAAGAAAGAAAGAAAGAAAGAAAGAAAGAAAGAAAGAAAGAAAGAGAAAAAAAACAATCTGCAAAGGCCCAATGAATGAAAAATCATGATTGGAAAAACGCCATAAGCATGGTTTAAAATTAAGGCAACTGCTGAGATAGAGAGATGATAGATAGGTAGGCAGATAATAAATAAATAAATAAAAGATAGATAGATAGATAGATAGATAGATAGATAGATAGATAGATAGATAGATAGATAGATAGATAGATAGATAGATAGATAAATAAATAAATAAATAAATAAATAAATAAATAAATAAAGCAAGCAAGCAAGCAAGCAAGCAAGCAAGCAAGCAAGCAAGCAAGCAAGCAAGCAAGCAAGCAAGCAAGCTAGCTGAATAAGATATGAAAACTTGAAGATCTCCTGTAAAAGAATAGGTCTGATGCAGTAGTTCCACCTGTTTAAAAAAATATATTTATTTCAAAGTTAAGCTCCGGAAAAGAGTCAGGAATGAACTCCTTTCCCTATATCTGAAAGGAAAACAATGCGATTACATAAAAATTTTCAGATACATAAAATGGGGGAGGAAACAAAACATGCTACACAGGACAGACCAACATTATGCATGTAAGTCAAGCAGATTAACTGTACAATGTTACTCTTAACAATAACTTCATTAAATCAACACATTTTCTGTATTACTAAATTAAGAAAAAACTATAGCGTTCAGCTGGATGATCTAGTTAATATCACTGGCTTTGGGGATCCTGCTTGCCAGTTTGCCAGAGTGCATTAAAGATTTTTCATTAAGAGCTTTCTCTTCTTTTGGGGAACAATGTTTTTAAACCAACGGCAAAAAGCAACACTGAGTTTTATCATGTTTTTTTTTTAACATTCCTAACCAAAGGTCTCACATAACAGAAAAAGGGGCAGCACTACCAAAGATGAATATGGAAACTGGAGTATATCCTTTGAATATCACAATTAAAAATGATCCTTCCCAACCAGATTTATACCAAACGATGGCATACATGAGATCCAATATGAATCAATGTTCCATACATTAGGGCCCAAGGCCCAAATCAGTAATCAGTTATTAAATATATATAATAAATAGGTTACAATAAACCTTATACAAAATCCATAGGATTTAAAATAGTTTGCAATACTTTACAAGTGCAATACTTTGGTAAACAGTATGGATCTTTGCTATTTCGTGGCGACCTTAATTCAGATACACCTCAGCCTTGCTACTCAGAGGTATGTTATGGCTTTAAAAGCCATACTGCACTATCTTGGATGCCATTAAAAGAATTCTCCAACCCTTCTTTTTGTCCAAAATGGCTGCTGCAAAATAAAGCTCAGAAGACAGTGAGAAAGACAATCAAAAGGGGGGGGGGGGGGAGAAAAGAACCCCATCCATATGTATGTAATACTGACAACCTACTTAATGTAAAGATATTAAGAAAGTCATGGATAGGAAGCCTATCTTATTAGTTTTCCAAATACTAAGGAATGCCTGTAAAAAAATCTAAAAAGTGCTACCAAATAAAAGATACACAGTTCATGAATAAAATCATGAAAACTGAAATGGGACCATATCAAATAAATAGAATAAGTAAACTAACATCTAAGGTGTATCTCTGAGATAGTGTAATTGATTTGACTTCCTGATTCAAGTAAATGTTTCTACAGGATTAATAGCTGCCAAAATTCCTTTGAATCAACTATGAAGAGTTTCTACTATCAGTTCTTATTCTGAAAGGTGTCAAAGGTATATTTTCATTTCTTCTGTGATTGCTATGTTCGGTGCGTGAGCCCTCTTGGTGATGAAATATTCATTTATACCATTTAAAGTCAGTTGCTGACAAGAAACAGTTTCAACATTTGGGGCCACCCTTTGGAAAAACAAGAAACCAGAGAAGAATGAATTATGTGTTGAAAATGGCATTTTCCTACAAAGTTAATCAACTAACTCTAAACTCACTCTTTAAGGGAGATGGGTGGTCTAGAAATATGAAGTATAAATAAATAAAATAAAATAAATAAACTGATATACAAAGCTTCATTGTTATGTAACTCATACTAGGTCTCTTCAACGATCTATATAATTCATATCAGCACTTAAGAGGCTGCTATCTAAAGGACAATACTTGGTCAACAGTGGTTCAATTGTTCAAACAACCTAGTTTGATACAATCTACAAATAGCTGGTACATCCATCTCTATACAGTTTAGCTCTCCCTATATGTTTTAGGGTCCTAGCCCTATAAATTTATTTATTTCTAATAATTATAAATTTGGTTTCTGTTGAACATCCTTCCTTTATGACCAAACATTTCAGAACAACTTTTGAAAATCTGAAGAAGTGTAAAACACAAATAATTATATAGAGATGATATTCTGTAATCTTCTTATGACCACTAAACCAAGAGAAAATCACCCTCATTTTTAGCCTGGACAAAAACATCATTACAGGATTGTCTTTAATTTCTTATGAAATTAATATTATCCAACCTTGTCCAAAATGAATGTTAAAAGTGCATGAATTAATGAATATGATAGTGGCCATTTAGCTTCGAACTATAAAATTATTAATATTCAGCATCACACTTAACTTGACTACACTTACTCATTGGCAAGGATAGAAAAACTAAACTGACTTGGAAAATGTTGCCAAATTAAATGAAAATTATCTCTATAAGAGAAAAAAGTTTCCACATACAGTGGTCACTGGCTAAACATCTATACCAAATGTATGCTTTTGAAGTTTCAGAACAAATAATACACAGGTCAAGATACATGTATTGACTTAACTGGCATCTTTATAAAAACAGAAGAATTACACCAATAATAATAGCAATAACAGCAACATGGAACCATTTTCATTCAACTCTGATAAAACAACACAGCTGCTTTCCTCCCCATCCCACCAAATAAGCTTTTGTGTAACTAAATTAGTAATATGTGAACAGCTTCATTTATATTTGTTTAAAGGTCTTGTATTTACACAATATATTAAATGCATTTTGCATCTTTAAAATAATACATGATAAAGAAAGAACAAGATAATGGTTGCAACAGATCTTCTATCAAAGATGTGGAGATAGTTTGGGAAGCATTGTGAAAAGAACAGGCTCTCCTATTTTTACGGTGATTAGCTTTTGTGGAAGGCATCTCAAAATTAGGGACCAATGTTACTATGATCATGTCAAACTCACTTCTAATTTAGTATTAATCAGTTGAGGTATTGTAGTGTCTATAGACAATTCAAGTGAAAGATTTGATGTCCATCAGTAATAGGACAGGTTTCCTTCTGCTTACTACAAAGAAAGATAGAGAGAAAAAAAGTGGTTTTTTTTCCTTCTTCCTTTTCCCCTTATCTCAGAGAATCCCATCTACCAAGATGGTGAGCATGTTATATATCTACTACTTAGATATATCTACTAGATACCTGCCATCATGACACTGAGATGGGCCTCAGACAAAGCAAAGAAAAAGTCCACCCCATTATTTTAAATGCTACACTACTGAAGATTCCCCAAGTTGTAAGCCTTAAAAGCATTACACACTGTCCTCAAAACACCCTAAACCGTTTCAAAAGTCATCCAGCCTAATCAAAGATCTGTTGACATAAGAAATAAGTTTCCTCAGATCTCAAATGTGATGTAGAAGTTGGGCATTATAAAATCCCCTCTTCTAGCAGGCATTGTTGCATTTAAGCTGTACCTGAGCTATGCAGTGAAGACAGGTTTTTTTTTTTAAAAAAAACCACTACTTTAATTGTTAAATCCTAAATAGCAATCTTAGTTTTGTGGAAAAACTATATAATATCCTGGGATGGCAAAGATACAATATGCTCTCTCACTGGCTCTTGACTTTGAGGCACTGTTGTGTTTTAAACACAATTCTAAGCACAGAAAAGCTAGCCTAAATTGTACCATCAACTAAAATGCCAGGTTGTTTTTTTTAAACAAACTCAAATTAAGAGCTGTAAATAATAAAGACCTCTGTGGTCTAGTCAAATTCAAGCTATACTTCGCAAAGATGAAGATGGTTTTTACTAACTATCATTAAAATGTCTAACATCTTCACACCCTGCCCTATACCAAAATGCTATAGCTTAATTATTACCAGTAGGGAAAAAACAGCTTTGTCTTTAAAAGACATGAAACATTTTCCTATCTTTACTGTTGATTCCCACATGTTCTTAACCAGGAACACAGTTTTAAAAGCCTTTTTTTAAAACAGAATATGATTCTGAATAGTTAGAAAAGGAACATCACTACTTCCCAATATCACATAACCTGCCGTCCTGAAAGAACTTCCCTTAACTATTTATCTATATGCTCAAAGTCCCTTATAATCCTTATTTGCTCTAGGTTTATTAGCCTGAAATGTATAAACATGGAATAGATTTCTAAGAGTAGTAAAAGGAATGTTCTCTTCTCATAAATCAATGGAAGCAGGGAATGGTGTCAGAAACGTCTTTCTTTGAAGGTCTTTCTTTTTTAGTGTAAAATAAAAAACTCAAGAGAGGAAATGTCTTCATAATTCACCTGGTGGTGTGGGAATAGCACTAGAGTACAATTTGGCAGACTCTACTGTTATCAAGCATTATTGCCAATTACTATTACACAGAAAGAAAAATTAATTAAATTATGAAGCTCAACACCAGTAACTCACTTCCCAAAAGCCTAAGCAAAATGGATCTCCTTGTCCTGAATATGTAAACTGTCTCATCACCCGGCAAACCCTAGTTATTTCCTGGCCATACAAGCCCTCTAAGAAAGCACGAGAGAAGCCTGAATACAAGCATCCTTCTTAGGTAAGGACCTCAACTGGTAAGACAATTTGTCCAAAATAGGGTTAGTAAGAAATATTAGGAATACTGAGAGGGATATTTTATGTGCAACAATTACGTTCACTTTACTAGGAATAAGATCTTTCAAGAGTGAGCTTCAAAGCCTCTTGGCAAAAAATAAATAAAAGACCCGTTAAATTATATGGCTCAATGTTTATTCTGTTTTATAGGCATCTGTATGCTTAGCTACAAACAGTAGATTATGGGTGCATTCTGATTTCAACATCCCACACTGAAGATAAGGGCAACCATTATCAAATATTCTTTCCTAAGAAAAAAACATTATAAAAATTATTTTCAAGAGTCAAAGTTCTTTTGATCCAAGACGTTGTGATCACATAGCATATCACCTAAAAATATCCATGTATACTATTCACACATGAGATCTGTAGTTCCGTATGTTCCACACAGATAGTTTTCACTCTTGTAATCCAACTTCCATTTGTAGCAAGGTTGTTGTTGTCAAGCAGCTGTCACAGAATAATTTTGAAGTTTCAGAAGGAGTCTGCAAAGCCAGCACCAGAAATTACAGGGAGATTCTACCCTTTTGACTTCTTCCATAACCTGCTGTATTTTAAGACAACTTATGCCCAGTGGTCACTCCACTATCAGTGCCACGTTGATATGGGAGAGATCTATCATGTGCCTGGAAAAAAGATGAATGCATATGATTTAAGGCATCTGTATTTTTTGAGCAAATGAAAGAACTTATTTAGTTACACACTTCCTCCCCATTTTAGGCATGGTTCAGATGTAGCCAAGTTTTCTAAGCCAGTAATCCTCACACTATAACAAGATTGGATTGTTTCACTGTAAAGATTGATTGATGGATGAATGGATTAATATGCTGCCGATGGCAACTCTGGACAGCTTGGACAATGCAATAAAAATAGAAATATAAAAGCAATTATAAATGTAGGAATAGTTAAAATTACAAAAATTAAATACCAATAAAGGAGTATATTTGTAGCTCAGGGTTGAAACGAGGGATCCTTAGTGCTCTCTGAGCTGGCTTGTTTTCTTGCAGATGTTTCATTACTATTCAATACATTGCAACAAAATGGATACCCACACCTTATCAAAAAGTCCCTGACCTCTGAAACCAATTCAGCCCAACCTACACAACCCTAAAAATAATTACACTGAAACTACTACAACCACATGGAATCAGCATAGCACACAAACCAACTAAAGCCCTTCAAAACACCCTAAGCAAACCAAAAGGCCCAGCAACTCCAGAAGAAAAAACAGGAGCCATCTACAAAATACAATCCAAGGACTGCAACAACCACTGCGTAGGACAAACAGGCAGAAGACCACCAGCAGAATGCATCCATGAACACCAACTAGCAGTCAGAAGACATGACGAAAGTTCTTTAATTTCACAGCGTATAGATTGATTTAACCATAGTTTCCATTGGGGAAAATGTGACAATCCTGGACCAAGCCAAGTCCAAAAATGCCAGGGAATTTCTAGAAGCCTAGCACTCTGGCAAATCAGCCATCAATGGACACATAGACATGAACAACATCTATAGGCTATGCAAAAGAGAACAAAAAGACTCCAGAACTTCCCCACCAGTAATCAGCACTCAGATCAGCATAGATTAACTCCAAGGTTGTCAGACCAACAACCAAGAAAGCACAACCCAAACAAGGAATCTCTAAGACCACCTCCACCCATACAGACAAGCAAGTCACCAGAATATAAACTGACAGCAAACAGCACTCTTAGTAGCATTAATGATGTTACTTAGTTTGGGTAATGAAACATCTGCAAGAAAACAAGCAAACTCAGAGGACCCTGAAAAATTAAATAGAATAATAATTAAAAACAACAACTAAGGATTCCCACAGGCAAAGCTGGTTCTTCTATAACTGCATAGCCACTTCCACCCTAAAGTGTCTCCACCCATGTGCCAATCACTAGAGTCAGGTATTAATGCTCCTTTGGAAGATCAGAAAAAGGGTGGACCTCACCTCTGACAACAGGATGTTCCAAAGGGTGGGAGGCACAGTGGAAAAGGCTATTCTCCTAGAGCCCATCAGCCAAAAAATTTTGACTGTCAAGAGTCTGCAGTTGGCCTCTTCTGCCAGAATACATAGGGCAGGGCAGGGCAGCCCCATTGGGGCAAGACAATTCTTCAGATATTCTGGACCCAGTCAAGTTCCTAACTTTTTCACTGAGATATTGGCTTGTTAAACTATAGTTTCCAGAATTTGAATCCATTTTATATTCTGCTTACAAATCATGACATGAAACAGGGGTCTCCAAACTTGACAACTTAAGACTTGTGGACTTCTCAGCTCCTAGAATTTCTCAGCCAGCATAGTTATGCTGACTGAGCATAACTGGCTGAGGAATTCTGAGAACAGAAGTCCACAAGCTTTTAATGTTGCCACCTTTGGAGACCCTCTAACACAAAACATAATCTGAAATCCTGATTTGTACATTGTACATAAAAATAACAATTATTCATGATGCCATGGAAAACTGTGGCTTAATGACAGATATCACTATTGAAAAATGTGTAGTGAAACAGACAGAAACAAAGAACTGAACACGGTATGATCATCAGTATGATGAATCAGGTCTAAACTAAACACTTCTCCAATCTCAAGATAAGAGGTCTTTATAAAATGGTTGAAAAACATAACTTTTTTATTACTATACTTTGGTATTTACTATTGAATTATTAAATTTAATCTTTCCCTATTGCTGTGTTTTTTTATCAGATTGGTTGGGGATAATGGGATTGTAAGACTGTACAATTCATCCAATACTGAGAAATGCAAAATATTTTATATAAGATTAAAACCTATGCATAAACTTACCTGTGAAACTTCTGCTGAAATTTTAAAGCATCAGCAGGCTCTTTAAATTTTGCAATGGCCTTTCGTTGTTGAGGCAACATCTGTAAACTCTATTGAAAACAAAAAAAGGAAAAGAACATCAGAATTTGGAGAAATTTCCTCTTAATAGCTGTTGAAAAAAGATGAGTTAAAGTGGAAGCCACAAAGCTAGTACTTAACTCGCAAATCTATCCATCTGAATATAGAATTGGATGTCCATGTACTCCTTTACCTACTATAAGAAATTCCGCCATCCTAATATTTTCTCTACTAAATGAACAGTTAAAACTAGATATTTTTCGTATTCTAACAACATAGAACCAATTCAGGAAAGGAAAAGGAAGACTTGCCCTTTAAGGAAAAAGGCAAAGTTCTTTCCTTTGTGGATTCAAATTTCCCGGCTGGGAGATTTTACTGCAAAATCATTTGGTCAGCTGCATTGGAAGCCAGAATCAGTTTATTAATAGGAAGGCAAATAAGAATAAATCCTACAGCGTTCTTGAGATTAATCTAATAAGTGAGTAGGAAAACCCCTCTCTTATACAGTTCAGGTTCTTTGATTTCGTAAGTGTGAATCCTTGAAGTCTTTGATTTGTGTTCGTGTGATGAGTTCCTGTCTCCAGATGGGATCTCTTCCTGGGATCTTGGTAAGAGTAATTGTTTTATAGTCCAATCTCTGTTTTTCCCTGATCCTTTGTAGCTATCAGTTTGCACCTGATATGGTATTCTAACAACATATGCATAAGCGCACCAATCGTGCCTACTGTCCCTGTCCTATTGTTTCTTTTTATTTTTCTTATACGTATCCATCTCATGTATTCAAAACTATGTTTATACTTATACCTGTTATCTTGTAAGCGATAGACAAATCACATAAATCAAATAAAAAACTTAGATGACCACTATAAATTCATCAGATGGTCTTAAACATTAAAATTTATTCTGAGGCTATATTTTTGTTAAGAGAGCTCTTGGAGAGGGCTAGGAGGGTATTAAACGAGATCTTTCCCCTTTCCATATTTCCATTAAATTGCTTATACAAGTCAAAAGGGAAACAAAGCAAGTGGGGATTAAAGCCTTAAAGGAACACATGAAACAAGTCTGAAAACACTCAAAGTAGGCCTAACACAGGGGTGTCAACCTCACATCGTCATGGCACCGTCATGTGACATATCGGGACTTCCCGCCTTCACTACACTGGGTGTGGACATGGCCAGCATGGGACACATTCAACCCGCACGAGAGTCTGACAGCCCTGGCCTAACAGAAGCAACTTGAAATAACTACAAATCATTCTCAAATTCTTTCCAAATAACAAATGAAAGTTAAATTCATGATTTGAGCAACTTCTGCTCCTCTTCTCTGTTTTTCATGCAGGAAATAGCTAAAAAAATCTCTAGTTAAATAAATTTGCAAAATCTGCACATTCAGAAGTAGGTTTCTTCAGTCACACAGCCAACAGCTTCCCATAGCATGCTAGTGATTATTGCTGGTGTCCAACATTCTAGACTCATTTATTAAGGTAACTTGGAAGTAATGGTCTTTGGATTTAATTTTAAGGGTTTATGTATTTTATGAGAAATGGATGCAAGAATTAGGATATTTTTATAATCCCCCAAATGGATTGTTTTCTTCACGGATGCAAAGAAATTTTATATTGAACTGAAATATTTCAGTTAAATTGATTTGTGAAAAGCAAGGTTTTGGGTTTAGTACAATCTGTGAATGGATTATTTAAATAAATGTTAAGTATATAAAGAATATAACTATTCATCTCCTTCTGATAAAGAATGAGTGGGGAGGAAAAAGGAGTAAAAAAGAAATAGAGACTCCTATAATTAACTTGATTATTAATCCTCTAAATCAGTACTCTGTCACCTATATCCCTTTGTTCAATACAGAAATACTGTTGCCTACATTGTGCTGGCATGCATGGTATACAGTCCCTCTGTTTTCATCTGATAACTTTCTAGTTCATATATATTCTCCTTTATTGGTAGTTCATAAATAAATAACCTAAATTTAAAAATAAGTCATTGTTTGTATTATCAGTTAGTATGTATGTTTATGAGATGTTGAATCCATTATTCAATACCCTCAATTCCTAATGAACATTCCAAGGAATACAAAGCATTGGATACCGATTTGGTTATATTTAAATGACGCCAACAGGATGAATCCACTGAAGCCAACGTGATTTCTGCAAGTGCTGACTAACTTGCTAATTAATACTTTCTTTGAGATTTTTATAAATATGATCCAGTCCAATACCATTTTTAAAAAAAGTGTTAAGCACTGATGGCTAGCATGTCTTCTAAGACATTGATCTGCTAAATCAGTAGCCCCCAGTTCTTTGGCATCATTGGAATTGTAAGTCTCAAAGTTTCTAAGTGTGACTTCTGCCATGCAACCTTGGAATTTCAGAAGCTGGATTCACAACCCATCATGTTATTATTTCTTTATTCTGAATGCAGAGAGAACTCAGACCATATAAATAGCTCTTGACTTACAACCACTCAATTTAGTATCGTTCAAAATAACAAAGATGTTGAAAAAAATGACTTCTGAACAGTCCTTGCATTTACGACCATCACTGTATCCCCATGATCATGAGGCAACCAGCATGTATTTGCAACATTTCCCAAATGACTTCTGAGAAGCAAAATCAATGGGCAAAGCATGATTCACTTAACTGCAGTGATTTTCTTAACAACGATGGAAAAAAAGGCTGTAAAACCAGGCACAACTCACTTTAACAACCAATCTGCTTAGTAACAGAAATTCTGGTGCCAATTATGGTCGTAAGTCAAGGACTACCTGTATTAGATAACAACCAAAGTAGCACTGCAATCAGTTGCATGAAGAAAACCTTAATATGCTTGTTGAGATAGCAATCTTTAAATGAAGTTCGACATAGATGAAAAGTTGCCCAAAAATGATTTTATTACAGTATTTGCTTACTGAAGAAGTAAACTTTGGCTCATAAAAAACAATAGGAGAAAAAACATTACACAAATCTTTCCATATATAAGGAATACCTCAAGTTTTCCTTGGGATTTACAGTAGAAAACAATTTTGCACAAAACTTTTTTTTAAAACAAACTATGAATCACTGTGCATTAACTGAATCATTGTGCAAAACTCTGAAGAATAGGAATGTGAAGCTAGTTAAGTTGTTCGTTAGCTTTTAACAGTGGGGTCAAACCCAATACCATTCAGAATAAACATATTGTATACACTTCCAACCTAATACTAGTTGCAAATATTTTACTCATCCAGTAACTGCAGATTTCTATCATTAAGGCACAAGATGATAGGTGAATGATCCATTGGAAGATTTGTGAAATACCACTACCACTTTTCATATCATGGGAATGTAATGGAATTGTATCAAAATGTACTATCAAATAATGGAAGAAAACAATAAATCCACAGGAATTGAATTTCTTGCGTTTGTGTAGATCTGTGGTTTCAAAAGTTCAAAACAGCTAATTTGTACAGTGAAAGCTGCTGTCTTTAAAAGATGTTCTAAAGCTGTATGTCAACAGATGAAATAATTTATTTTTCAGAGGCCCTGCTAATCGTAACGATTAGTCTGTACAGGAGCCTGGCTGCTTTCCTTCTCTTCTCCTTGATCACATAAAGATCAAAAGTGTATACTTCTGATTTAAAGCCACCATTGCTTTTGAATAACTAGGATTTTTAATTAATTCTAAATCTAACTTTTATCTCAAAGTTCAGAACTGTAGATTACAATTTAAAGTTGGCTTTACCCAGACAAGCCAGATGGGTACTGTAAGATTATAATGAAAAAATGTGGCTAGTTACAAAAAAAAACCCTCAAAACACTTCCAATCATCTCTTCAATGACAAAGCAAGAAGCAGAGAAGGGAGTACATGAGCCCAAATCGAATTACAGCTTAATGTTTTGTCCAAATACCGCTGTGGTTCATAATGTGTATTTTGAATACTTTTTTATATTGCAATGTGCAACTTTAATTGTGACAAAACTATGGAATCAAAAAGATCTATTCATATAATTAAACTATATGTTAGGCTACATCATGTCTAAAAGGCTGTATCTGATAAACCTATGAGCTCCTGATAAAAGGTATCTTGCCATCGTTACGACAGGAATGTCTATTTTTTGAGCAGTTCATATCCCAGAGGGACCAAACAATATTCAGCACTTCTGAGCAAATCAAAATATCATCTCTGGAGTTCTTTATAAATCGCTCTAATAGATTTTTTCTGATGTTGGCTGAGAACTTGACTCTACTTTGTCAAGCAGCCCAGAAATATAATAGTTTCCATTATTGGTGTCATGACGATTGGTTCCCAAAGTTAAGTTTGCATGCTATATTTTTCACAAACAGGAAGTTCTATTTCTATCTTAATATTTTATGCACTATAGATTATGAAAGGCATCAACAATAATTTTCTACTTCAAAAATCATTGTTCAAGTACATCTATGTAAATCAGAATCATGGGAAATACTGCTAAACAAGAAACAATCTGTTAATTTTATTCAGAGCCCTATTTAAAGTACACAAATATAAATTAAATGCAGATGAGTATGAATGAAAGTGCTTTTCATTTAAACTTCTTAAATAATAGTGCTAATGTACTGAGATTTCAGATGAATATATTTGAAGTTTCAAAAAGGTGTTATTTTATGATGACACACAATCCAATTAATTGGACTGTGTTTCTGATTTTTAATAACTCACACATTAGCTTATCGGCTCAGGCCTGGGGGTTATCTAACTTTCATATAAATTTTAACATAATTCAATAGGATTGGTTTAGCAGTTTGTTTTTTAAAAATGAAAACTTCTGCAACTTGATCTTGTTATAATAGAGAACATATTTTTTTAAATTTTATTTTAAATTGAAAAACTAAATAATTTCAATTTCTTGTAATTTTATATTTGCCATTGTTTAACTTTTCAGAACTGAAAACTGGGCAGAGATAGCATTCAACCCCAACTGTATAAAGAACCCTACTTTGAATTCCCAACTGTTAATGAAGGTAAAATATTTGCTGCTCCATATTTACCATGTATATTC